GTTTCAATCTGCAACTACACTGCTAGATGCCACTAAATCCTGGACCTTTAATCAGTGTCTGTGAGATCTGCCACCAAATGATGAGTCAGTCCTTTGGACTTTTGGACAACCCAGAGTTAAAACTGAAATTTTGTTAAACAGGCAGCAGTCAGGTGAGAACTAATCTCCAACTTTAAAGCAACAGTTGCCCTTACAGGCCTTCAGCTCTGTCTCTTATTAAGTGAGCGCTGGCACTAACCCTCTTTAAGCAAAGGTAAGCCACAGCTAGATCCTTAAATACAGCTTGTGTGTCCATATCTCAGTAAACCCCCCAGGCTGATTCTGCATGAGCCCGGCACCATGAGAACTGCAACAAGCTGCAAGTTTCAGGAATGCAGGCATGGGAACCAGTGTGTGTGTGTGTGTGTGTGTGAGTGTGAGTGTGTGAGAGAGAAAGAGAGAGAGAGACACACATACAAATCATGTGAATGTTTGGGTGAGTGTGACCTCTGTACAGGCTTCAATTTTTATTTACAAGCCCCTTTAATCATTGCCACCGACTATAACCAACCAGCTGCGCTCAGGACACTAAACTATCACCCAAACCAAAGAAAGCCAGAGCATTTATCAAAGCATAGAATCATTTGATGAAATACATCTTTGGAGAGTTTATAATACAGATTACCCCCCGCTGTGTAAGCTGGCTTAGAAAAGAATGGATTGGGTTAGCCCAGATTCATGGACACAGGGATTGAACTGTATAGGTGTATGGTATGTCTGCCAACACACAAATACACAAACACACACAAAGATTAATCTCATTACAGGATGCAGCCAAATCCTTAAGTCATAAAGTTGAAGAGTTCAAACCAGTAATTAAACTCCAGCTTTGCTCCAGGAACAATAGTCAGGTCTGGGTGAAAACACACGCACCCTGTCCTGGAGGAACCATGGGTACTCGGCTGGGGTCAGGAGAATGGCAAGTGATGCCGCTCTCGGTGACAACGGCGGGACTGTGGCTGTCCTGGAAGAAGCAGGAGTAGGACTCGTCTTTCTCCAACACTGGAAGTCCTGGGACCGACAAAGACACCTGAGGAAAGACCCAACATTAATACTTGTTCAAACTACTGGCAGATCACTTGAGACAAAAGTCCATATTTCATTTTATTTTTATTTGTTCTGCTCATGATAATGCACCACTCCAGAAAAAATTCAATTAAAAGGCGATGGGAGAAGGAAAATCTCAATCTGCCTGACAGATGGTCAGTTACACTGATTTAAAGCTCCAGTATGTAACATTTACAACACTGCTATCTAGCAGAATGGATACAAGATCACAAAACAATATATCTATAATACAATACAATATTTTCTTACACCCCCATATCATATCATCATATCTGATAGAGTTTTCTTCTGCCTTTTTCCCACGCAATTTGACATCAGATGTGAACTCTGACAGTATATAGAATGGACAGAGCCCTTGTTTCCTGCTAAGGACGAGTCTGAACTGTGCAGCACAACAGCAGTACGTCACCTCTGCTGGCTCCGACAAAATGTGATGGTGACGACCATAATACCAAACTCGCGGCTTCAAAACTCCAGAAACAAATGTGTGATGTCACAATATGTTGACACTTGGATGCGACAGGTAGAGCAGAGGACAACCAACATCCAGCCACAGACTGGTAGAGCATGGAGAACATTGTGTAGAAGCAGAATAAGAGCACAGGCAGAGTTATCCACACCTGTTCTGTGTTCACAGCAGAGTAAAGTGAAGGTCATAATGACAGTAAGTGATTAAACTGTCTGAACACATAAATCTGATCTGCTCACTTGTAAATGTCAATGTGGAATAATTTGATCTGAAAACTAAATTAGATTCCCATGCTGCGGGAACATGAATCACACTGCTCAAACTCCTTGACCATTTATTATACTTTGTTATTGTGGCTCCATTCAGGTGGTGTTTCTGCACCGCAGCTCCAACTTATCATCTGTCAGTCAAACAGTATGACCTCCACAGGGACGTGTTTCCTTGTGTTTTCTCGGGATGAAGTCTGTGTAAGTGTCTGTTTCCTGGATTGTGTGTTCAGTAGTGGTGGAAATCAGCGCTGTCAATCAAACTACTGCCACAAAAGCCAAAGATAGTCACTTATTATCTCATGAAAGAAAAGCAGTAAATTCTTACAACTGAGAAGCTCGACTACAATGTTTTGTTTTGTACACATGAAAAATTACCAAATAAAAGTAGTCAATTATCAAACTATTTGGCCATTATTTCTCTGTTGATGGATTTCAGCTTTACAGCAAAGCCTTACACCCACAGGCCGGAACCAGCCCGCCAGAGGGTTCTGGCCCGCGGGATGTGTGAAAATTACAGAGAAGTCAGAGTATTGAGCTTTCGCTCACTCTCTCTCTCTCTCGCTCTACCACACACACGTT